CCTTCTCTCTCTCTCTCTCCCCCTCTCTCTCTCTCTCTCTCTCTCTCTCAAGCACAAAAAAGGGATTTTGATGGAGATTTATGATTTTTCCACACGCTTTCCTCTACCGAAGCAGCGATAGGTGAAACGAGGCCTATTCAAAATAAACTCGAAACCAGTGTTTTTTAAATGTTGTTTGTTCATAAAAATATTATAAACATAAAATATTTTAATTTGTAAAAGTAACATAAGTAGCACATCTTTATGATCGGATTTTTTTTTACAACATTGAATTATTGAACAGTTACAAATTTTATGTATTTTAATATTAACTAGTAAAACTGCACATTCTGAACAATTATAGTTTTAAGCAGTGTACTGGTAGTTAGTTAGTGTGCTACACAAAAGTCTGTAAAAATAGGACACAATGTAATGTTTACCCTTACCAAAAAGTAGTATACTTCAAGTGTATTTTAGTATTTTTATCATTTGAGTCACTTTACAAAAGTTGCTAAAAGTTGGCAAAAACTTTTTTAAAAATAGCTAAATTTGTTGCTAGGTGCTTTTTGAAAAAAAAGTTGCTAGGGTAGTCTGAAAAGTTGCTAAATCTAGCAACAAAATTGCTAAATTGGCAACACTGCTCGAAACACATACGCTGGCGACACCTGTTGGTCAAAATTGTGTAAATGTAACGAAAGCTCGGTCCAAATCTGCATGAAGACAACTTTTAAAACCCAATTGCAATATTTGAGGCGATGAATGTTACGGTTAGCCATTATTATGTTTTTGTTTTTAAATTTATTTTGTCAGCATAGACTAGATACTTTTCAATCGAGAATCTTAGTAAAGGCATCTACCAGCAGTGACTGACCCCTGGGTTAAAGCAGGTGAAGATGGTACGCTGGCTCATGTCATAGCACTGCAGAGAAGAGACATTAATTTCTTTACTATTATCTGTCACATAATGAAACAGGTGTTAGTTATGAATTGTGCTATTATGCAACTTTTGTGTTAATGTTTCCACACTATTTTTATTAACTAATTAATTTATTAAATTTAAATTAATTTATTGACATTACTTTTTCAGGTCTAGAATTCAGAAGTGCTAATATGTTGAGATGCCAGTTAGATATCTGAGAATATGAGCAGTTCAGCAGTTTAACTCACATTGATTAACATGTGACAGATTGTTCACCTACTGAAGAAAATGGCACAACTGAAACACTAGTTGCGAGAATTTACTGAATGAACCCAAATGAAGGAATTACAGCACATCTTTGAGTGTGTCCTTAGATGTGGGCTCAGCCAAGCCAAGCAGCTTCAACAGGGTGAAATAGGAGAAAATCCAGGGCAGAGAGATATCCTGTGTCTGCTCCAGCCCTTCAGCCTCCACAAAAAGACCCCTGTGAAACTTTAAGTGCTGCTCCAGTGCTGCCCTCTGCCTGTCATAGAGAGAAATACACTAGACTTCACAAAAGGGTTCCTGCACAGTTAAAAATACCTGTATTATGTTTCAGTGTTAAAATTGTAAAACTTCCAAACTGTGTTAGCCTACAGTAAATCACCTTTACCCTAAATCACTATGGTAATCCTAGATTACTTACTTTCATCATTACTTTGCTTTGGTTTTATGCTACAACCGCTAGATAGCCAAAAGTTACATAGTGTAGCTGTAATGTTCTCACATGTAGGAACCCTATGAACGAGAGCTGAGATGTGTGCTGCAGCTGTGACATACCTGGCAAACAGTTCAGCCTGCAGCCTGGCCTCTTCTTCAGCGTGCATCGCTGCTTCCTCCTCCTCTCCTCCTCTCCTCCTCCTGCTCCTGCTGTCTGCGCAGGTACTCCAGTCTCTCAGCCTCCTCCATCTCTGACAGCTTCCTGAGCTCCTCCTCCTTCCTAGCTTCCTCTTCCATACGCTGACGTTCCAGTTGGGCTGAAAATGAGGACAGTCATTCATTAATTTGTTCACTTATTATTTAGGATATTTACATTTTAATGTTGCAGGATGTATACTGATCTGTGTGGTCCACTTAGGACGGTGATGCAATGCTGCATAGACTGTTGGGTAATAGTCTGCGGGCTTGGCATCAAAGCCTCACACTGGCCATAAAGCCTTTATGAGCACCCTCTTAAATCATAAAATGACCAGTTGGACTGCCTTCGGTTTTACTGATTTCATGGACACGTGCAAGTGAAGGACACAAGACTGCAAGTCTGTCAAGTGTGCCATTTGGGACCGTACTGTGGTCAGTATCGCTATTATCAAGGCTGAAATCCAGACCATGGCCACATTACAGCACAAATGTTTGAAACAGTTGCTGTGTATTAAATCAGCAGTAGTGGGTAAACTTGTGCAGATAGTAAGATATCTGCTCTGTTTCCAAAACCTAGTAAGGCGCATACATACGCAGCAGGGCTCATATCTTTGAAGGCATCTGTCTATGTAGGGAGTAGGCAGTTTGCTAGGGTTTGGAACATAGTCATTATCTTGCTTCAGATCCTGTAGTATGTTCTTCTCACGGTAGTCATACAAAAGCAGAATTCAGTCCAAGAGATATCAAGACTGTCATGTCATAAGGGCCTCGACCAATCAGAAACCATGACTGCACAGGTATTTACCAGCCTGTCGTTTTTCCTCTTCCTGTCTTTCTCTCTGGAGCCTTTCCAGCAGCCTTCTCTTCTCCTCTTGTCGTCTTCTTTCTCTGTCCTTCTCTGCCCGCTCTCTCCTCTGTCTCTCCATCTCTTCCTCCTGTCTTCTTTGTCTCTCATCTTCTTCTCTAATCTTCCGTAACCTGCATATGTGACAGTGATAGTTTCTTGCCAATGTCTACAGGATATAGTGTATTTCGTTACAGTATTTGTTTCCAAAGAGCAGTGACACGTTGTACCTCGCTTCCTCTGCTTTCCTCCTCTGTTCTTCTTCCAGTTCCAGCCTCATCCTCTCTTCTGTCGCCTCTTTTTCTTGCTGTCTCTTCTTTTCCTCCTCTCTCTCCCTCCGTTTCTTCTCCACCTCCAGACGACGGCGCTCGGCCCTTTCAGCCAGCGCTGCAGCTTTTTTGTCTGTTTGGTTAGTTGGAACCTTGTTGCTTTTAACCTAATAGTAAAATCAATTTAACATATATGGTATGACAGTAACATGACAGGTGATTGTTTTACCAATCTTTATCATTACTTAAGCACATGTGAACAAGACAAATTAACAGCGGGACATGACTTGATAGTCCTTAATACAGGGACTTGATAGTCCAACTGCTTAAATATTTCTATGGATAATATGTATATTTTACCAATTAGTTATTTACCTTAAAGTATATGGTTTATATATAGGCTATGTAATCAACATCAACACATTTAAATCAAAAGTTATATATCTGTTGTTTTTTATACGATTATGTCATTCGCAATGTTTCAAGGGATTGTTTTTTTCCCTTGTTAAAGCCGGAAAGTACAAAAAGTAAAAGTCTTTTTGTCTGATTTTCACATTTTTGTATTGTTGTGATCCAGCTCATAGCTGGTTGGTTTGGTTTATAGCTTATAATTTTTAAATGAAGACTTTAAAAAAAAAAAAAAAAAAAAAAATCCATATGGGAAAAAAGTTTTGGCAAACCAAGGCTGCTGAAAAAGTGAGCTGACACTGAGTAACTTGCTGTCTAAACAAAACATTTCCTTATTTCTAAAGACATAATTTCTACTATGTCTACATTTGCTACATAAATGAAAATAGTTGCAAACAAAGTAAAAGAAAAATCATCAGCTGCACCTCTGTGCAACAAACATTAGTGGTGTTTTGTTCCTGGATGAGTCAGTGTTATTGAATGAATCGGTTTAGTGAACAATTCAAATACTCACTTATTTAGTTCCAGAATGAATCAGTATGCTTAAACAAATCTTTGAATGAATGGTTTGTTGACTTATTTATAGACAGTCACTTCTGACATAACAATGACATGGTAAAATCCTCACCACTAATCCACTGACAGTCGGACTGATTCAAGCATATAGTATGTGTATTCAAATGAATAGCTAGCTGTTAAATGAGAAATACTCACATCATTGCCTGGCTCAGATGTAGTGGGGTCTGAGGCAGAAGGGAGTGCTGACTGAGGAGGCAGGTGGGCTGGGCTGCACGGGCCGCAGTGGGACATCGTCCCCATCGAGCTGGTTCTGATGGAGCTCTGTGAGAGTCTGCGAATGCTGGCATCTGAACGAGCTGTAATGAGTGAGCGCTGCGATCTGTATAAGTGCTGTAAACTGATCTGGGAGAGATTTTGTGTGCTTCATGTGTGTCTGTACTCTCTGAGTCTGTATCAGCATCCATGTCATCGTCAGAGTCAATATAGGTGTGTTCTGGCGTGTTCTCTGTGTTTTCTAGTCGTGAGTCGTCACCTCTCTCTTAAGGGTCATCAGTCTCTCAGGCTCATCCACTGGATTTGCCATCCATTCAGCGTCCTGTGGCCGAGGTTTTCCCAAAACAGATGCATTGAAATGTGATTTTCTTTCACATGCTCTTAATTTTTTTTCTGTTTAAGAAAAAATAAGTTTTGTTTTAGAATCAAATGAGTCGCCTACTGCCTACATAGGCAACTTTCTTCTAAAGAAGTATCATAAGGAAGAAGTACAGTGCAATACTCTAATAAAGAAAAATAAACACTGCTGTTCAAAAATACAGGGTCGGTAAGATTTTTAAAATGTTTTTAAAAGAAGTCTTTTTATTTTCATTTATTTGATCAAAAATAGAGCAAAAATTTGTTACATTGTGAAATATTATTACAATTTAAAATTACAGTTTTCTATTTGAATATTTTTTACAATATAATTTATTCCTGTCATGGCAAAACTGCATTTTCAGCATCATTACTCCAGTCTTCAGTGCCACATGATCCTTCAGAAATCATTCTAATATGCTGCTTTTGTGCTAAAAAAAACAACATTTATTATTATTATCAATGTTGAAAACAGTTGTGCTTATTAATATTTTTGTGTGAACATTTTTTCAGGATTCTTCGAAATAGAATAGAAAGTTAAAAATTGGAAATATTATTATTTTTATAATATTATACATTTCTTTGCTGTCACTTTTGATCTATTTAATGCTTCCTTGCTGAATAAAAGTATTAATTTCTTCAAAATAAATAAATAAATAATAAACTAAAGATAAAACATCAAACTCACCCCAAACTTTTGAACAGTAGTTTACTTAGAATTTTTTAATTAGTTTAAAAAAGGTTTTAAATTATTTTAAACAATTGTTTTGACACTTTTACTGTAAGTGTTGAATCATATTAATGTTTTATGATAGAAATTTAAACTATTCACTATGCCTTTAAATCTTAACATAAACGTACCTACAACAAATGCTGGTTGACCCTTTTTCTTTTTCTTTTTAACTTTGTTGAATTCTGGGCTTTTATAGGCTCTTCCTTTTTTTCTTTTTTCTGTTTTTCTTCTGCAGATTGAGAGCATATTATGACGAATATAAGGCATATTTAATCAATAAGAGCATATGAACTAGTATGTAACACACTTTCTTCGAAGTAGAAGTGGGATCCTCAGGGACACTGGCATTCTGGGTCTCAATGTCTTCATGAATTTGAACACTCTTCCCTTTTGTTTTGCCTGTTTGCTTACTAGACTTTTTATTTTTCTTCACTTTCTCCACCAGCATGTGTTCTGCGTCTTCTCTTCCACCTGCGTTTTCCGAATGACCTTTCCTGTCAAAACTAACAACAACGGATATCATATATATTAATGGGAATCATTTAGAGGAGAGTGTCGGAAGTTCAGAAGTTAAGATATAGCCCAGACGGAGTGAGAGAGATTTACTGATAAGAGCTCAGATGTGAAGCGATACCCTAATCTCCTCTCAGCTTTCTCACCGCTCACAGGGCCTGAGAAGGGTTCGGGCTGAAATCTGAGCTACAATCAAAGTGCGCCGGAGACTGGGACGGATGGAGTGACGAGAGAGGAATGCAAACAATGATTAGACAGGATATTAATGAGTCCCAAAAACCTTGGAGCCAAGCTGTTTGACCTCTGTCTGACCTGTGACCTGAAGTCGCAACCTGCTTTGTGTACACCAAAACACAACGGGAACGCAAGCAGGCTGATGAGTGAAGAGGTAAGAACTGATGAAGTGGCCAAAAGCGAGAGGGAGGAGTTTGGGGAAATTAAAAGGATGGATTTACCAGCCAGAAATTACAAAGAGCACTGGGACATATTTATTATTAAAAACCCTCCAACCCTTTCTGATAAACTATAATTATAAACTATAACTGCTAGTTAACTAAAGCAGTATTTTGTTACCAGTTTCACTCTGACCGGGTCACAATTTAGCACAATAACATAAACATTTGCAACATAACGCAATCCCTTATTCATAATTTATTTGGATAGAGGGGTTACATATGTACACTGGGAACAATTATTGTCATTTAGCTTTTCGAATTCAAATACACAAGCGTGTCAATCATACTTAACAGTCCTGCGCATCTGTACTGATTTTATAAACACAAACACAAGAGCTCGATATTACATGTGACTGAGACTCACTCTGCCTCCGTTGGTAATCCTGTCTGGATTTCTGCCTGTCCTTCAGGAGACAAAGACTCCGGTGAATGTGCTCTGGGAGTGAAATGTGTTGATTTAGGGCTGATAGCAGGCGCAGCACCTTTGGACTTCCTTGACCCCCGTGTCACCTTTGTTTCCGGCTGTAAAGTTGTTGTCTTTACTTTTCGGTTTCTTTGCACCCTAGTGGCCTCCTCTCCTGTGAATCACAACTATTTATAGTTTAGGTAAAACTTTTGAGGGTTGTTCTTGCTCCATCTTTTTGCATCTACTCTGAATGTTCAGTTATTGAAGACATTCAACACCATCTTTGACTTAAATGGAAGAATCTAGGGCAGAGCTTAGATACCAGATCAGCAGCATTACTCTTTATGTTGCTGTGCTGAGCTGTAACTCAGGTTACCGGTTTTGTTGAGCTGGTGAGCCGTGGAGCTGCTCATTTCCTCTAATCTCTCCTCAGGTAAATAGACCTTGAAAGAGACGGGATAAGACTCTGTAAAATTAAGCCAGGCATTAATGGATAACTCATAATGGCATGCTACATATTATACCAGTGAAGGAATTACCTGTTCATCCTGAATTATTTCACTGTCAGAGTTGAAACAGTCCTCCTTCCTCTTGGCTTTAGTCTGGTTTGCATGGGATCTCACCTTAAATGTCTACAGAAAACGGCATCACTCCTACAATACCATTCAAATGTTTGGGGTTATGTATGTATTTATTTATTTTGAAGTAAAAAAAAAAGAATACTTTATTGCACAAGGACACATTAAATTGATCAAAAGTGACAGTAAAATATTTATAATATTACAAAAGGCACCTATTTTAAATAAATGCTGTTCATCAGAGAATCCTGTAAAAATGTGTCAGTCTCCACAGAAATATTAAGCATCACAACTGATTTCAAAATTCTATATATGTATATATATTTATATATATACTGTATTTTTAATGTTTTTCTTGAGCACCACATTATCATTAGAATGATTTCTGAAGGATCTTGTGACACTGAAGAGTAAAGTAATGGCTGCTGAAAATTCTTGCTTTTTCATCATAGGAATAAATTACATTTTAAAATACTGTATATCAAAATTGAAAAGTTATTTTAAATTATAATAATATTTCACAACATTACTGATTTTACTTTTTTTTTGATCAAACAAATACAGCATTGATGAGCAGAAGAGACTTCTTTCGCGTGTTGAATGGTAGCAAGATAGATTATTAGGCTGCATATGTTATTACGATGTGAAGATAATCAGTTTTATAATAGTGTGCACACAGTGTAAAAGAGGAAAATTCACCTGTGCCTCACGGATTATTTCACCCTCAGCTCCTAAACAATCATCCTTCCTCTTGGCATTAGTCTGCTTTGCACTTGATCTGACCTTAAACACCTAGAGAAAATCCACCTAGAGAACCCAGCATCTCACATATTTTATTGTGACTTCCTCCTGAATCTGTAGCTCTTAGGTCAGCTGCTCTGAAGATGGTTTAGGCTTCACAGATTGTTAAGACTTTCTGGCTATAGAGGTTGAACGTGACCAATCTCATAATAATGTACTTAATGGCATACGGTTAAAAGAGGAAGACTCGCCTCTTCCTCCTGGATGATCTCACTGTCAGCACCTAAACAGTCATCCTTCTTGGCTTTAGTTCTCTTTGCATGTGATCTGACCTTATATTCCTACAGAAAACAGCACCTCATATATTTTAAGTCTGTGATTTCCAACTGAATCTATTGCTCTTTGGTCAGCTGCTCTGAAGATGGTTTAGGCTTCACAGAATATTAAGACTTCTTATAATAGCCAATCTTATAATAGCGTACTAAACTGCATGCAGGTAAAAGAGGAAGACTCACCTGTTCCTCCTGGATTATTTCATTGTCAGCGCCTAAACAATTTTCCTTCCTCTTGGATTTAGTCTGCTTTACACATGATTTCACCTTTATCGCCTACAAAAAACAGCATCTCTCATATTTCCCTGTTGAACTGTTACTTGGTTATAACAAATCTCATAATAGTGTGCTGCTAAAAGAGAAAGACTCACCCTTTCTTTCTGAATAATCTGACAGTCAGAGCCTAAATCGTCCTCTTCATCCGCTGCATTATTCTGTTGTATGTGAGCTTTCCTAGATACCTACAGGAAAGATTCACACACATATGATATATGATCGATAGATCCTGTGTCCCATTTGTTATTGCCATGACTTACTGATTTACTTACGCAGAGGAAAATTTAAAAGAAAGAAAGTCATACAGGTTTGGAAGAACATGACGATATTAAATTAAACTCACCTGTGCATTATAAATGGGTTTAATGTCAGAGTCTAAACAATTTTCCTCCTCCTCCTCCTCTTCCTCCTCCTCCTCTGCATTAGTTTCTTCATGAGAGTTGACCTTAAACACCTACAGAAAGCAGCATCTGATTTTTCACCAAAAATTATCCTAAAATTTCCCAGAGGTCAACATCAATCTGATGTTATCATGTTCAAGCTCACCTGCCTCTTCCAAACTGTTTTATTGTAGGAACCTAATGGATGCTGCCTCTTCTTAGTGTTAATTGTCTCTGCAGTTTTATTGACCCTAAACACCTACAGAAAATAGCACCAGACAAATGTTTAGTGATTTTCACAAAATCAATTATTCTGTAGAATTCCTAAACATTTTCAGGCTCATAGATCATCAGTGTTTCTGGAAAAGAAAAAAAAAACCTAAAATGAAAATGTCTGATTAGTTTGCTGTGCAAAGTTCTTGTGTTTTTGCCATTGCTCTGCACAATGTTAAGGATCACAGGGACGGAAAACTTCTCTAGTGCCAAAAAAGCACTTAGCGGTGTCCTTGAAGACAAAATCAATGTAACAACAGATTGCACCTTATGTTGCTTGATTAATAACAACTACTGATAAACACATGCTGTGCTCCACACAGAAGTATAAAAATAATATTAATTGAGAGCACAAGCATGCTGACTTTGTCTGCATAATGGAAATATCATTAATTTGGAAACAGAACTGGCTTTGATTAAAGGGGAAATATCTGACTTTGCTATATTGTGGTGGGTGCACTGAATTTTAGTTCGTAGTTAATCCCTTCTCTCTCACTGTGAAATATTTCATACTAGATAATAAAAGTGTCTCTCACACTCAGCACCTATAGCAAATGGAAAGGTTTGTGTGAGGACATACCTCATGACTAGAGTCAAGCTGTTCAGTGTTTGAAGTAGTTTCTTCAGTATTACTTGTGGTGTCTTCCTCTGCGAACAGACATAACACGTTCTGCATGAGTCTGCATGACTTTTAAAGGAGATAAATGCATTCAAATATAAACTATTGTTCAAACTTTTTTTTTTTTATTCTGCAAGGGCACATTAATGAAAAGTAACAGTAAAGATTTATCGCAAAAATGTTAAGCAGCACAAATATTTTCAACATTCTTGAGCACCAAATCAGCATTTTATAATGATTTCTAAAGGATCATGTGACACTGAAGGCTGAGTAATAACTGCTGACAAATCAGCTTTGCATCACTGAAAAAAATACATTTTAAAAATATATTAATATAGAAAGTAGTTCATAAATGCATTCAAATATAAACTATTGTTCAAACTTTTTTTTTTTTTTATTCTGCAAGGGCACATTAATGAAAAGTAACAGTAAAGATTTATCGCAAAAATGTTAAGCAGCACAAATATTTTCAACATTCTTGAGCACCAAATCAGCATTTTATAATGATTTCTAAAGGATCATGTGACACTGAAGGCTGAGTAATAACTGCTGACAAATCAGCTTTGCATCACTGAAAAAAATACATTTTAAAAATATATTAATATAGAAAGTAGTTCATTTAAATTGAAATAAATCTCTTACTGTTTTACTGTATTATTGATTAAATACATGCAGCATTGGTGAGCATAAGAGACTTCTTTCAAAAACAATAAGACAGATGAAAAATTATTGGACAGTTTGACTTGTTGACAAAGAAACTACATATTTTAGCGGTAGTGCTAGTAAAGAGTAAACAGTGCACATTAGGTGTTTAACTGACCCTTTATCTGTATTTTGTTCTGTGTTAGTTTGGTCCAAATAAAACAGTTAATCAAAGTATTCATCAAGTGTACACAAAATGCCTACAAACTAAATTGTACCATCAACATTCACAATCACAGCTTATTATGATCAATACCAATTTGCTTCTTCCATACATCTTTATTTTGACACACAACTTGCCAAGTCAGTGCTGGTAAATCTCCCACTTGTAACTACGACTTCATGGTGGCGCTCAGCTTGTAAATACAATCATTCTGACATGACATAAACACACTGGGTTGTCATAAGGCTGAAGTGTAGTATGCTTGCGTCGCCTCTAATCAGGTGGACGAACCTTGTGGAAAAGTGCTGCATTCCACCAGGGGGCACAAGAAACTTAGGCCTGTCCCAAGCATGATCGCTCACAAAAACCTCAATGGCACATGACAGCAGTTCAGCTTGCCATGCTAAATTTATTCATAATAGTATGTTTATATGTCTAGTCATTTCTCAGTCAAATCTGGTATATCCTTTTGCCTGAGAAAATAGTTCTGAAGTTACAGTGCGGTTTGATTTAGGTTGTAGAATAGCAACCGCAGCTTCTCAGTTTGCCACTTGTACAATGTATTTTACTGACACCGATATTTTCGCACACACTTTTGCATGCCAGATTTCTGTCTTCTGCATTAAACCATGAGACAGCGAACATGTTTAGTGTCCTGCTGTAGGATCGGCAGTGTTTTTCTTTGTCCCTCTCACAGTCTCCGCGCCCGGCCTGTAGTCTGGACACAGAGCGGCCAGTTATTTTGCACCAGCCAGCGATGGTTTATTTTTCAGCAAGTCTGTCTGCTTTAATGGGTTCCAGCGCTGCTTTGATGTCAATGAGGCAAAGAAACGGGTGTGTGGATGAGATGGACAGTATGAGGGAGCGAGTTTAACCGAGGGGGATGGAAAGAGCCTCACACATTCGCCTGTAAGGCGGTGTGAACGCAGCGGCGACCCCATCCTCAGGAGAGAGGGGCTGCATTTTGTTCCACATTCTTTCTGTGCGCTGTGAGTGAGACCTCTGCTCCGTCTCCACACCCCACTCACCTTCCACGCCTTCTGATCTCACACACCCATCCACTGCAATTATTCATCCTGCGTGACACAAATCCTGCCGAAAAGCAACAGGACTGCTCTTCCGCTTGCTTTCTCCTTCTGTCTTTTCTTGATTTCTGTCTCTGTCTCACTTCTTTCTCTGTTTATGTCAGAGCCCCTGCTGAACTTCTGTCTAAACAGGCAATGAAAATGGAATGTAGGTCACTAGATTGTTATTAACTGGACTTGTGCTTATATTTCATATATAAAATATAATATAAAACATCTTGTTAGTTACCTTATTATTAGTAGTAGTTAGACTGACCACACCTCTTCATTGTTAAATAACAGTTTAGAGATTGTCTACTAAACTGTTTGGATTAATGTATCTCATTATTTTGATCTCTCATTTTTTTGCACAAAAGAACTGGGGCTTCATGTATAAAGCTTTGTGTATAATATTTCATTCTAAAATTGCATGGATGCACAAAAGGCAGATGTGTAAATCTGTATGCATGCCAAAACCTGCACAGAATTAGCTATTTAGAAATCTTTGGCAAGTACAAGGCTTACAACGCCTCGTTTTACTATCCATACCCCCATTTGTATATCATTTACATATGCATATCTCTATCCATATTAAACTACCTTGTTTCACAATATCCTACAGGATACTAGAAAAATATTAGATATGGAGTGTAAGTACCATTTATGCCTTTACATTGCATTGCTAAAAATCATTCATTATCCCTTTAGAATAAAAACATCCAAATAGCCATAAAACACATACATTTGCCAAAATCGTATATAAAAGCCTTTTCAGAAAATGTTTTTAGGGAAGAATTATTCTCATCCATTCCATTTGGCAAAATATGTTTAAATGTTTTAAACAATCCAATTTTATGCAGTTCTGACAATAAAATAAACATATATTATAGGATGTTGAGATATGTTTACTCGCAATCAGATACTTGTTTTGCAGTGTAAATACAATTGTCTAATATCAGTGCATCACTCACTTATTAGGCTATATATTATATATATTTCAACTTTATGTAATTTGAAAGCTTGCACATATACACTGCACACATTTATAGTGCACATATTATAAGTTTTTTTTTTTTTTATAAATCCAGATAAGTGAGTGGAAACTTGCATGCGCACATTTCAATGCCAATTTTTGTAACCTTTATGCATCAGGCCTATGATGTTTTCAACCTGGCCTTATAGGCCATAATAATTTGAACAAGATGACAAAGTTATCGGGGTCAAGCTGAAAAATGTACTGTGCAAATTTAAAACTAACCATAATTGTAATAGGAAATAAACTATAAACTATTTATGTTATAATATGATCCAAGTTGTACAGTATCAGTTCATTACAAGTTGTCATGCCAGCGATTTTGATGTTTTGGAAAGTCATGCAATGTGAATGTCCATTAGAGGGCAGTGATATATAGTACATTTAAAGTATAGTACATATTTAATTAACAGTATTTTCAAAATGTTATTGCAGTAAAAGGCGATTCTGATTCTATAGATGCTCCTTTTTGAAAGAACAGAGTGTTTTTCCTTTGATATCAACCTCAATTCAAAATAAATAAATATTTCGACAAATGGGAATGAAAAAGCCCACTTAAATTTTTAGCTTCACAAAGAAGGGGAAATATTCCCGCCTCTTATTTTCACTGCTTCATTTCCTCCTTCTCTTCTGCTGGTGGAGGGGCAATCTGTAATGAACACCACCCGTCTCCAGCATTCCAGACACCCCAGAATGCTATGTGGCACCTCTGAACACTCCTTACTATTTTCAGTGACCAATTTGTTAGCACGTTGTCAATGTCCAGACAGACAAGCATAAAACATCCCAGAATAAGCCCAAGGACACACGTATTGGCATTTGGTTTTAAATTGCTGTCTGCAGCACTAACGTCTGTTAATGGATGAATGATCGGCTGTAACACACGTCTGGCTGTTTCTAAAACTCACATAAATCAATAGGGGAACTTGTTATGAATTTAAAAAACAAAATAGTACTCTCAAGGTACCGTAGTACAGTGATAGTATCAGAAGGTTATGCTGTGGTGCTTTGATATATATCATGGTACGTGGATGTAGCCCCTCAGATGATAGCCATTTGCTCAAAGAGTCTTTATTTAGAAAGTGTCTGTTTCAGAAGGGGCCTGGATTGGAGGAAAGGGGCGAATGAAGAGAGCACTTGCATGGCAAGCCGATGGAGGAGGGGGTTTGGTGGGGGTTGAGTTTCTGACCAGTGACAGGATATAGGAAACAGAGCTGCTCTAGAGGTCGGCTTGAGAAAACACAGCCTCTGTCAGTCACACAGACTCCTGTGCCGGGATTAGGCCTCAGTCTGGGGGGGGGGGGGT